ATGTTCTAGATATTGTATCTTCCTTCGATGGAATTTTAGGTCTAGATTTCATACAAAATTACAATTGTAATATAGACCTTTCAAAATCTATTTTAAAAATTGGTAAAAAACAAATAACATTGTCCACATTACGTAATAATACAATCAATGCGACTAAAAATAACTCTGATCAGCTGATTCATAAGATTTCAACAGTTTCGGAGCAGATAATAGAACCCGGATCGCAGACTGAGGTTGCTTTGGAAACATACAGCATTCGCGACGGAAAAAAATATTTATGTTCAGAAAAAAATATATATAATGGTAAAATCAGAATTCCTAATGCTCTCTTTAATGTCACAAACTGGAAGTTTATAACAATAATTTTTAATAATACGACCTCGCGATACAGAATGAAAGATGTTTGTTTCGAATTGAAATCTTTAGGCACAGTTGCAATAAAAAAAATTTGTCAAGTTGATAAAAAGCCACTTAGTAATTTTCATGGATTGGAAAAAATAAAAAATCCTTTGAAATTAGAACACCTCAATTTAGAAGAGAAACAGAACAGAAAATATAATGAAATTTTTTTATTCTAAATTTGTGTCCAACTTTGCAAATCTTACAAAGCCTTTAACAACCCTACTTAAGAAATACTAAATTTGATTTCAACCCATAATGTAAAGCCTGTTTTCAGAAATGTAAAACTGTTATCACATCTAATACCATTCTAGCGTATCCCAATTTTGAAAAGCCCTTTACATTGACATGCGACACTTCTAATTTTTCCGTCGGTGTTGTACTGTCCCAGGATGATAGAACTATAGCTTTTGCGTCAAGAACACTGAACGAAACTGAGATCAAGTATTCCACAATAAAAAAAGAATTGCTATCAATAGTTTATGCTGCGAACATTTTCAGACCATATTTGTTTGGAAAAAAGTTTATTATTAATAACACCATAACAGCTACCTATCAAGACTTTGTAGAGAATAATGAATGTTCAGATCTCAAAACGATCAAATATTCAAATGATCAATTATTTTTCCCCAAACATAAAAACATTTTGTATTTTATGACGATATTGACGACATTATATTAAGTGATGTGCGAATTTTCAAAGACAAATTTAATATTGAAGAAATTGACAGTATTAGTTCGGATGATTTATTTCATAATCGAGAAAACAATCAATTTGTAAAATTTGTTAAAATTAACGAATTCGATTTAGAACAAACATTTCAATCATTATCAGCATTACAAATAGACGGTTTTGATTTTTATATGAACAGAATATCAAATGTCAACATATTAACAATGTTAAATTACCTTTTTTTTATCTAAGATCGATAGACGAAATAACCAGTACCCTCTAAATATAGTAGAACCCCCCTTAAGGCCTTTTGATAGAATATCTGTGGATTTGTTAATCATAAATAAAACTTTTATTTTGACTATAATAGGCAATTTAACAAAATATACTCAGGCTTATTTGCTTAAAAACAAAACTGCTAAGACCATAGTAAACAAGCTAAAAATTTACACTCAGCACTACCAAATACGTAAATATTTGTATGTAGACAATGGCACTGAATCTGTGAACAGTTTTTGTAGCAAATTTCATATGAATTTACGAATATGTTCAGTAGAACATTCAGAATCCATGGGAATTATAGAACGACTACACGGCACAATTACAGATACAATACGTTCTTATATGAACGAAGTAGAACAATAAATCAAAACAAACCTCTCTAGACTTACCATCCAGTGAAATTTTGTTTCCTCATTGTAACATCTTTAATCCTTTACAAACTAAGCGAGTTACAGGTAATGAAATTAAACGAGTAAGGGCAAGACAGCTTGATCTGAGAAATAAACAAAACTCATAAAGACAAAAACACACGTAACCGTGTTTACTCTGAACTGCTTCTGTCCAACATATGAATAAAATTTCAAAATTTCATTTCAATCAAATCAAGCCGCTTCTAATTGATAGCAAAATTAAGACACTTCATTTAGTTTGTGGGGTTTCTCGTTGCGACTTTCGTTACTGATGGAGCTCTGCTAACCCAAGAATATTGATAATACCGAGTTGAAATTCCTGAATTGGCTCGCTGAAACCTCAATTTAATGGGCTTCTGCACCACACTGATAGTGGACTACGTGGGGTGGAACCTGAAGAATTTTTCACCCTATGGAAAATTCCTTTTTGGAAAGGGAGGTGTTACATGTCGCACAGTGCAAATGTGTACGTATGTGTGTGACTTGGTTATTATATATCAATACTTAACAAATTTATAACTTCTCGTGACTGTCGATTAAACAATTATTTGTGTCGCGAATTCTTCGAACATAAACAGTTTTTCGCAACCTGATATTTGTACTTTATTATAACCACATTAATAATTAGAATTAAGTGAACTTTTGTCAAGTCTAGACATACCTACATTAAGACTTTTATGTTTAAAATTATATAAAATCATAAAATTCCAAACATCATTGTTTAACTTAAATATTTAGGGATATAGGATATTCTACTTTTAAGGAAAAGCTGAGATTCACTTAAGATAGAAGGCAGTGGAGGTGCTTATTCAACCAGTCTTCGGAATTATCCCCACCCTACACTTGCTTTGTGATATATTGGCGTAACGAGAGATTTTCAATAGCTGTAACTTTATATAGGCTTAATATGTTTGGTTTCTGTTTTTAAACTTTGTACCGACATCGTGACTCGTCAGAGCGTTTTTCAGTAGGGTATACAAAACAGTTTGAATCAACCTTCTACAGCTTTTCGTACAATACTCTCTCTCCCTCTATACTTGTTAAAATAAGTATTCTAGTTACCTTTTTCATCACTGTAGATTTCTGCTTTCTGTGTTGTACTCTTCGATTATTAGTTAAAAGCGTAGGAAGATACGAAGTATTAGTAACAATCTTATTCGTTGCAATTACGAAAATCTATCTGTGGGGTGTGGAGTCGCATAACTACTAATTTATTAAACCGTTATATATGAATATGACCTTAATCTAAATGTCTATTTAAACAACAATTAAGTACCTTACACATTACATAAAATGTAAAATAATTCATAATATACCATTTGTATAAACTTTGTCCATCTTCTATTTTAAGGGATAGTTGGGGGCGAAGATATGGAAGCTGGTAACATACCTCAATTCTGATCCATTTTTTAATCTTTGTTTACCCGTTGCAAGCATATTACCAAAAGAAGTAGTAGGTTGTTTAATTATGTGAATACGGATTAATTCTTTAAATAGTGGATTATCGAATTGATTATTGCTAGTAAATATTCTATTTATATTTTGAAAACAAATTAATAAATGCTTCGGCCGCGTCGGGTATATTCATTGACACTAGCGGTTCATACGTAAAGTTTCTGGTAAAATTATAGCTGATGCTGTGTTTTCTTCCGGGCTTTTTGGCCGTGGTCCGTGGAATTTTACTTTTCCAACCGTTCTTTGCTGACGGCACCTTCAGTGGTGACTGGGCAGGTGCTGAGTCGTACTGATGCAATTTGAGAACGGGTTACACTTCTTATACTGCAGTCGTTACGGTAAGGGGTTTTATGGTTCACTGCATCCATGTTGTTTTTATGTTGATCCGGTCCTTTTCGGTTGGTAGCACATTGTTTATGTTTTTAGTGTCGGTTTCCAAGCTTTGCTGATATGTAAGCCATCATCTCTGTTTATGTTATTAGGATGTTGTTCAATTTCCAGAGCTTCCCTTCTAATCAGATTGTAGAATCCCGACGTTCTAACCAAGACAGTTGTATCTTTGAATTGAATGGTATGGCCTTCCTCAAGCGCGCGTTTTCTCTTTGTCATTATATTGCGTTGCGTCATTCCAATGTAGTCTTTAACACATTCACAGGGTATACGGTAAACTCCTGGTGTTAGTAGTAGATCTAGAGGGTCTTTTGCTGATCGTAAACCTTGCGGGTGGGTAGAAATGTTGTTTTTATTCCCTTTTTTCCAAGAATCTTAACTATCCTGTCCGTGATATTCTGAATATAAGAAAGGCAAGTTGTGATCTTTTCCTTATCAGTCGTTGTGTTATTCTTGTTGTGATGGCTTCTAGGATGCATTACTTTCTGGATAGCACTGTAGCTGTAACCGTTTGCTATAGGTGGTCTAATTCCGGCTGTAGATGTTCCTTGTCCGCGATGAGTTTAGCTCTGTTAACCAATGCTTTGATGACTGTCCTTTTTTGGGCTTGATGGTGGTTGCAAGCAGCGTTCAGATATCTATCTGTATGTGTGGCTTTCCTGTAGACACCGTGAGCATGTTGACCTGTAGTAGTTTTTTTACAATGACGTCTAGGAATCCTTCCATCCGTCTCCTGTTCCTTAATGAAGCGTCTGTTTTGATGCTGGCTGTTCAGGTGATCTAAAAATTTGTTCAGCTTATCCTCTCCATGTGTCCAGACGGCGAAAGTATCATTCATATATCGATACCAATGAGTCGGTTTATATTTGGCTGTCTCAAAGAACTCCATGTAGAAATTTGTACTTGTGGACTAAGTGGGCTACCCATTGCTACCCTGTCGATGTATTCGTAAAAATTTTGGTTCGATAGGAAGTAGCTAGACGTCAGGCAGTGTTCGAATAGTGCGATTTCTTTATCCGTAAAACGTGTCCGTAGTAGTTCCAATGTATCCTTTAGTGATACCTTCGTGAATAACTATTCTACATCGAAGCTGACTAGGATGTCGGAGTCTTTCAATCTGATGTTGTTCAGTTTCTCGATAAAATGTTTTGAATTTCGAATATAATGTTCGGAGATTCCCACGTACGGAGCCAAGAAGGTTCACAAATATTTAGCCAAGTTGTATGTTGATAAACCAATAGCACTCACTATTGGACGTAGTGGTACTTCTGCTTTGTATATTTTTGGCAATCCATATAGTCTTGGCGGGCGACTGTCGGAGGGTTGCAGCTGTTTAATGGTTTTCTCGTCCCAATTTGTTTTATTCGATAATTTGAGGGTGTTTCTTTCAATTACTGATGTTGGATTTCGTGGCAATATCTCGTGTCTGATGTTAACAAACTCCTCAGCTTATTCTCATATTCCATTGTATCCATGATAACTGTCGAGTTTCCTTTGTAAACTGGAACTATTTTTATCTCTTTCATTGCTCGTAATTCCCGAAGTGCTGCACGTTCTTCTTTTGAGATGTTGCTTTTTGGAATTTTAGCTTTCCTTAGTATTTTGCAGACGTCTTGTCGTACTTCCTCGGCTTCAGGCGGATTTAGTTGTCGGAGCGATCCCTCCACGTAGGCTATGATTTCTTCCGTAGGTATTGTTTTCGGACTAATCGTAAAATTTTTTCCTTTGACTAGAACCGACTTCGCTGCTTCGCTGAGAGTTATTTTGTTGCGTTTCATAACGAGATTTGCGACGTCCAAGCATTGGTTTTTTTTTTCACGAAGCTTCTTTCCATTTAAATGGTCGAATTTCCATATCTGACGGTCCTTCGCATTGTTATATTAACTTTCTGCTGATTGTGCCGTCATCGAATCGATTTTCCTCCACAACTTATTATCCAGAAAAACCCGTCAGCAGAAACCAACGGAATCCCTACAAAAATTAGAGGCCGATATTGCGAGACTGTCTCGAATGACCTATCCTAATACTCCAGAGGAATTGATGGAAAGGTTGGCAGTAGAGGCATTTACTAATGGACTTCGGGACAGAGACAGAGATACTCAACAATGAATACACCTTGACCGACCTAACGCTAGCTGATGCATTGGCTCGTGCATTGGAGCACGAAACTGTTAAATGGGCCTATAGCAAACAGGAAAAGGTTCGGCTACTGTATGAAGAAACGGATTCGTCAGAATCTTTAGAAGAAACCGTCTGCCGAATCATCTTCAAGTTCGATAAAGAAACTCGAAAGCTAAGATGTTGGAATTCCGGCGAACCAGGTCATACGAAGAGGCAGCTTAGGAAAAGTACTCCTTCCCCAGGTACTCGACTTCAATAGCAGGAAAACTAGATAGGGTCGACGTAACGGGGCAAACGTTGAGCCACGGATAAAAAGACACCGAATTTATCGCATTTACGAAGACATTGAAGCACCAGAATGGCAGTATACTCCTAGGTGGAAAAATAAATAGACGAAGATGCGCGTTTCTTTTGGACACTGGGGCCAATAGGAGCATAGTAAAACCCGGCGTAGTCGAGGGTTCTAACCAGGTCGTGTCAACTAAGTGGGTTCTGCGTACGACTACCGGTTAAAAAGCGGTTGTTCATGGCAAAGCTAACGTGTCACTTGAAATCGGTAAGACTGTCTTTAAACATCGAGTGCTAGTGACAGATATTGAAGATGACGTAATTCTTGGGTTGGACGTTTTACAAAAATACGAATTTGATATAAATTTAAGAAGACGCGTTCTAAGACTGAATGGCGAAGAATTCTATTTCATCAAAGATAGACAGGAAGCTGTAACCCGAAAGGTAAATTATGAAACAGTACCTGTTGAAATAAGTGGAGTAGTTGACAGAGATTGTAGGAATCTAACCCGAGAGCAGAAACGCAAAGTGCAACAGCTACTTTGTCAGAATGCTGACGTCTTTAAGACTGACAAGAATGGTAGGGGAAGGACCAATATCGTAAAACACAAGATCAATACTGGTAATGCGCAGCCTATTCGTCAAAAACCTAGACGATTGTCCCTGACCAAGAAAGAAGAAGCAGAACCAATAATCCACGAAATGCAGGAGACCGGCATAATTGAGCCATCATCAAGTCCATGGACATCACCGGTAGTACTAGTAAAGAAGAAGGATGGTACAATCCGTTTTTGTGTGGATTACCGACAGCTCAACAACGTAACCAAGAAATACAGTTATCCACTACCACGGTTTGATGACTCAGTGGGACTTAGGATTGGTTTAGAGGATGACATCCTGAAGCGTGTTGTTGAATGTCCAGATGGAGAGGAAGATAGGAAGCAATTGGTTATTCCTCGAAACAAGGTTAGAGAAGTGTTGCAGTATCTTTATGAAGGATCGTCTGGTGGCCAAGATTATGTTACCAACCTCCGCATATAGCTTAACGA